TCGTTTTTAGAAAAGATGACAATCCAAAGCATATCAATAGTTTGAAAGTGATCGCTTCTAGCCATAGTTCTTCTGACGTTGCAAACGCATCAACATTGCATACAGGTATCGCATTCGTTCCAAGATTTCAAAAATCTCATTACTTAAGGGTCTAAATCAGTCACCGAAATGAAAACTTTGGTAGCGGGCTTCTTTACCTAAGGGTGCCTCTCCACAGAAAATCTAGGCGGAAAACCGGACAGACCGTATTCGAAGATGAATGACGTCCTGGATCACACCGGACTATTTCGAACTTCCCCTTGGAGACGAAATCCCGAAAGCACCATAAACCTCTCCAGAAAGACACGCTGATATTTGAAGAAATACGGAACGCCATTTGAGCACAATGTTTAAAAATCAAGAAATCGACGAGAACGCGTTTGCATAGCGCTTCGTTGAATTTTGCTGATTGCACTTTTGCAAAGCGGTGAGCCAAATCACTTTGTAGTCAATGCGTACTAGTAGCAGCTTTTTCAAGCATCATGTCATGGAAAAATGGGACAGGAAAGTCTACAATGGGATGTTCAAGAAATTCACAAGGCATGGGCTTTCAGCGGCTGCCTACTTCGTAATTGAATGAAATCGTTTTTTTTTTCTACACAACATCATCGCAGGCAGGCAAACGTCTCTCTGATAGCTTTGTTGTTTTATTCCAAAAACACGCAGATGTTCGGAAGGTCACCTGTCCGAAGGGATCAGTCGTTGCCACTCAGCACCCGAAACCGGTACCGGACGACAGCACAAAAGCGATGCGAAACAATTTCACATGTCGGCATTTTCAAACGTACATTGGCCAAAGCCTACTAGCCGGAAAGGTTTCGAAAGCCACTGCTGGCTGTAGTAGATCACAGTGCTATGGAAACAACTACACCCTACCCACAATACGAGTTTAAAGGCAGCCTTATGTTATTAGTATTAATATGTTCCGAAATAACCGAACCACTATGAAAGCCCATATAGCAAATTGCACCACAATGGAGCCTAGAAAGATCACAATAAAAATGTCGCAACACCTCAAAGGTGATGCTCCTGAGATTGATCGATCCCTCCTTGGAATACGCCATATACTCCAATCCGACATGAATCGTAACGACATTTGTATGCGATATATTAGCCAGCCGATGTACAAGACAGTGTTTTTATCCCTAACTACAAAGGTCAATAATAATCAGCCTACTCCGAAGGAATGGAAGGCTCAATTGGTTTGGGCAAGATTGCATAGATCCCGTCCTCGGCCTCTGGTCCATGCCGTGTGTGGCGGCAACTGCGGCTATATCACCTTAATGTTCCATGTATCCTAATTGTTCTGAATTATTATTCAAATTCACGAGCTGGTAATGGCTTTGCGTGTAGGCAATGAGCGAGAAACACCGAGCCACATGTCAATTAGCTGAACCGAACAGAACCGCCGAGCTTTCCGATCATCCGGAGGGGGGGGGGTCATTCGATACCGCATTATTGAGTACTTGTGGAAGGAAACTGACCTGGACAGCAGTTGGCACTCTGTCATTAAGTACATTATAAGGCTTTGAAATACCTCTACTTTACCTCTACATTTACTTTCTTGGTATAGAAATTCAACTAGTGGCGCATATCTTGAAGATTTCAAAGATTCCGTCCTCTCTTTTGCCTTTTGTCCCGGGTGAACTGTAACACAATTTAGCGACGTCCTTCCCCTTGAAAGGGAAGCAGTGGTATTTGTGTGATTCCCAATCTGCTACTCCTTGTCCTGAAAGATTGTGGTGACCAATCCCCTTTTATCTACCACTCGTCTTTACGGCCCCAATCACCCTCCATTCAGCCGACTAGCGCTTTGAATGTAAACACAGCATTTCTCGTTGCTAATCAGATATACATAAGTGCAGACGTCTGAAAAATTCCGGATTTCAAAAGCTCATTTCCAATCCTGAAATTACGAAAGCTGAATTTGCATAAAGGTGTTCCAGGCCGGGTGTGACGAGTCATCTAAGGCCGCCAACACAATGAATTGTTTCTGATGAATAAAGAAGGTTGGTTTGCCAATTGCTGCATTGCTGAAAAAATCAAGAGTAGCGTTCAGAAACCCGAGAAACAGTACTCTCGTTTTCGGGTTGATTTTAGCCTTGGACGATTACGAGGTCGTTTGGGCGATGTTGAACACTGTCATCATGCCAACGGCGATCGATGAGCACTTACTGCTTCGATGCCGGTGCAATAGGGCCTTTAAAATATGGAACGATAATGGTAATGGTCTTAATGGAGTTTCAACTGACTAGCGCTCTGTGTGGCAGCGGACCTTTCCGCTCAAAGGGTGGAACCGACGGCCTCTGAAGACGACGATTCAGTCGAAACGTTAGGCCATAATAAATGTTCCACCGAACAACCTCGTAAGGCACAAGAAATTTATCAAACTTACAACTGGTAATGGTTTTATTTCAAAGACATTGCCGTTA